TTATCTAATCTTTTAGAGACATTTGATGACATTCTTGACATTTTAGATGAAGGTGCCCCGGTTGATCTTCTATACTTTGATTTTAGTAAGGCGTTCGACACAGTCCCCCACTTTAGACTTCTGTCTAAATTGGAAGGCTTTGGTGTCAAAGGAAAGGTTTTAGATGTTATTAAAGATTTTCTGACAGACAGGACTATGAGGGTTTCTGTAGAAGGACAATGGTCCGAGGTTAAACATGTTTTATCTGGTGTTCCTCAGGGGTCAGTTCTAGGCCCTCTCCTATTCATTCTGTATATTAATGATTTGCCTGACCTTGTAAAAAATAAGATAAGGTTATTTGCTGATGATCTTAAATTAATTGGTAATGCAGCTAACCACGGTAGTGTTGCTGAAGATATCGAAGAATTAGAAGTTTGGGAAAGTATTTGGCTTTTACAATTTAATCCTGCCAAGTGCAAAGTAGTGCACATTAATTTTAACAACAATCCTAATTTAAATTATAAGGTAAATGGTATAGAACTTGAAGTATCTGATCAGGAAAAAGATTTGGGGGTTATTACCCATAGCTCCCTGCTTTGGAACGAACAGATCAAAGCATGTATCGCTAATCTATAAGGCAAATCGTATGATTTGTTGGATTGTAAGGAATTTAGTTATTAGAGAAAAGGTTGTTATGATTGCTATATATAAAGCTTTAATAAGACCTCATCTTGAGTATTGTGTCCAATTGTGGAATCCACCTGCGGCTCATGGAAGTTGGGGGACTGTTTTGGAGCTGGAGAGCGTCCAGAGGCGGTTTACACGTCTGATTGATGAGGTGGGTACTCTTCCTTACAGCCGTAGACTGGAAATCCTCAATTTGACAACGCTGGCAGAGCGGCGAATACGTGGGGACCTTATTGAAGCTTTTAAGGTTATTAATGCTATGACTGATTATGGTTCAGACTTGTTCAGACCAAGCAGATCAGGTCTTAATCTGGTTTCATCCAATAGATGTAGTAAAAGTGTGACAAAGGTCAAGATTATCCAGAAGTCTTTTCTCCCGGAGCGAGTTATTCCATATTGAAACAAACTCCCTCCGGACGTCAAGAACTCTGTGACAGTTTTAGGTTTTAAAATTAAATTAGAAGGATATAAGATAGATATGATTTCTAAAAGTATTACAAATGATTGCTTTTTTTGGAATGTTTCTAATGAAGTTTTAGTAAGAATTGAGGGAGCCAGTTATGTCAGTAACAAAGAGAAACATAACAATTATCTTTGGTTCCATCCTTATGTAGCAAAGAAGCGTTTTATAAATCTTTATTCCACTGGGAAGTTTTTAAAATAGGATAATGTTTTTGATGAAATTGTTTTTAAATATTGTATTTGATAATTAATTAATGTTGGTGGGGAAATATTTATTATATATTTTTTCACACAGTGCGATGATAGTTTGTAGACATGTGTGATGATGTGATGTCATAAATTTTACTTTACTTTACTTTTTCGTCGGCCGGGTGGTGTAGTGGTAATTCACTCGCCTCCCAAGCGGAAGACCGGGGTTCAAACCCCGTCTGAGGCAGGCAGGCCAGGTCACCAAGCTGTGATTGGTACAGGATTTATCCTGGTAATTATGCTCGGAGGATATCAGTGACGCGATTCCTACTACAGTGTAAGCTGCAGTGTAGCTGTAAAGTCTACCGCCATTCGGAATGAGTGTGAACTTGCTTACCAGGCAATCATGATTTCCGCTTGGTTCTCATCAGGTCTCTAAGAAAGCCAACAGTGTGCTGATATGCACTGTCATATGTACTTCCTAGAAGCAGCACACGGCCCATTTCGGACTTGCACGAGTTATAATTATTACTTTACTTTACTTTACGGTTTCACATAGCCATGTGTCTACGCGTACTGCGTGACGCGCTTGTTTCACAAGTAGATAGACCGCCTCCGGCGGTCGCGCGCTACTGCAAGCGAGAGGGCTTTGGTTTACTGGGCCGCGCTCAGCCTGTCATTCCGCCAAATTCATTATGTTAATGAACATAATAGCCTGGGGTCCTCAGGTAAGCTCTGGTTAGAGCAATCGACGGTCCTCAATATATGGAACAGATATTTTACGAGTATCACCCGTTAAGAATTGCTTCGCATCGCGCAGAGCAACGCGTTTGGTAATCTGGAAGAGTTAGCATTGTCAATTAAGAAAACTCTCTGCTTTTAATAAATTTACCGCGTCGGCGCGCGCGATATTTGCGATTTCAGAATTCAATTAAAATTTTATAAGTTGTTAACCTACTAAAACGCGCGCCGAGTTAGACTCGTCGACGGTTTAATTTTCCGCCTCGACAGTTTAATATTTCAATTCGGACCAAATATTTTACAAGTATCACCCGTTATATAATAGTATATACTATATTTATATATATTAAGCTAAATTTAAGTTCATGGAAAAATATTTATATTGTTCTTATAAGTATATGCTATCACTGAATTTTTATTGGCGGATGATTCTAATAGCCATGAGTCTACGCGTGACCAGTGACGCGCTTGTTTCCGTTCGGTGGTCGCACGCTACGTCGCTACTGCAAAGTTTGACCATTGTTAATGGTCTGGCCCGGCGCGCGCTACTTCGTAGCACTTGCCATCGGGCTAATATTTTGAGAAGAAAGCGGCGCGCGCTACTTCGAAGAAATTTAGACGAGTAACATCCGTCAACTGCAAAGTGCAAGCGAGAGGACTCTGGTTAGTATAGAGCAATGGCCGACCCAGTCACCCAGTAGTGCATCGCCCTACAAGTTCTTAATGTGATTAAAATTCAACTGTATTTTACTTTCTTTTTCATTGTTGCTTTTTTATTGACACTTTTTGTCCCGCCCATCAGCTGAAGCAAGGGTTGATTCTCCGATACTCCTAGTTCCAAGCTGCTTGAGGAGGGTGTACTTATTTGAATCACTGCACTGTCCTGTTAACGAACACATAGTTGAGATATCATTCAGTTATTAAGTAACTAACACTTATTGCAAGCTTATATATATATTATTCAACATGCAGGGGACATGTTTCTCCGTTTTTTAGTGACAGATAATTGAAAAAAACTTGATTAGATTGTAAGTAGAATTTAATTTATCATCTGACTGAACACTGAAATAATTGGACTGTTTAACACTGAACATGAATCTTAAATTTCCAGCAGTTTTTAAAAACACTTAACAGCTAATATTATACAGTAAAATCTACGATAAAATTACAAAAGCTTCATGCCGTAGTACATACATATTACATTACACTGGAGCTTACACAGTGTAATTTCCTCCTGTCTGCGCCGCGTACGTTTATATAGGCGCAGATTGGAGGAAACTACACTGTGTAAGCTCGATCGATCCAGTGTAATGTAATATGTATGTACTACGGCTTCATCAATTTTCACATTTATTGATCATCAGCTCAACTTCATCTCGTACACTCAGCGAAGTCATTTTAACAAAGTGTAATACTAATTCACTAATTCATAATCCAAGACAAACTCTAACTATTCCCAGCATAACTTCGTGGCAAAATGAGAACCACATATCATCACCTCCCAAGTAAAAATTCATTTTGAGATAATCAAAAAAAACTGTTTGTTGCTTACAATTAAAGGACTAAGAAACAATTAGGCAAGTGTCCCGGGTGAAATATTAGTATTTATTTTCTTTCTAGTACGAACACGATATATTATATCGTGTTCGTATACACGTTACACGAATAAGCCACAGCTATAAACATTAAACTCAATATTGTTATACTTTGATCTAAATAACAGATGAACACTTTTAGGTCGATCTGAAAACTCGTAAGAAAGTAAGATTACATCACTAATAGCTACTTGATGGACTGTAAATCTGAAAACTGATTATTACAGCAAACATATTATTGAAGAGAAATATAGATCATAATATCGAAGAGAAATATAGATCATACATGCAAATTGCAAATTGCAAAAGGTAAAATAAAAACAGCTAAATCATAGACAGCTGAATCATAAATCTAATTCTGATATCTGAACAAATAGGTTTATAATCTCTTTTTAATTGTTTCCTATAATATTGTTGCCATGCGGAATCATTGAACCCATTTTTACACTGAAGAATTTCCGTGGTCTAAATCTGACGCCCGATTTTCACTTACGATGCTCTTTTTCAAACTAACCCTAGACTCATTGGGTTTTACTTCATTCTTTTTCTTTTTCCTTCCAAACCAACCTTTTTTCTTCTTATCAGGCTCTCTTTGCTCTTTGGCAAAGTTCAAGAATACCTGTGCGATGGGAAGATCAGACTGGTAATTCAGACTTAAAACCTTCTCCTTTTAAACAAATTGACATCATTCAATCGCTGAACATAAGGCTTTTAGAGTTTAAATAACCAACGTAGATGTGTCGTTTATATTGTGGTTAAATATAAATGGAGTATTGGCGATTTAAAGATAACGTTATTTCGGGAGATCAGCCGATATTTTAGATTGACAATAGCAATAAAGGTAGCCCCATCAAGATCCTGAGTCTCGTGACACGTCGACATACGACAGCTCGATTAATGAACCAATTAATCGGTTATTTTTGTTACCTGTTCTAACGAGGTTTGAGCAACGGAATAGTCCTTGAGGTTCAATTCTACTTTGTTTGTTTCCAAAACCTCAAATATGTAGCTCCATTTGTAATCTATACCCAAACTGAACATCAGGTAACCTGCAATTTAATACCATATCACTTTCTGTTCTGTCAAATTATTATTAGTAACAAGAAGATGTCCGCGTTTAATCGGGACGAGATAAATCGGGGTTTTCCCGTGCATATATTATGTAAATGTTTTTAAATGTTCGATAATGCGAGCTGGTTGGTAAATGTTAGGGAAATATTTATATAGCACTGACCCGGATAGTTCTCTTTCAATATTGCGCCCTTAAACTGTTCCTCAACAAAGTTGATAACATTGGTCTGGTCCTCTGGTTCCATGAGAAGACAGACTGTGTATCCTTGACTGTAGGTATTCTTTAGCTCCTGTATACTGCCCAAACAACGGCAAGCTCCGTTTACCTGAGAAACAATATAGTTTTTAAAGTTGTTTTCATATTTTCTTCCTCAATTCTTTTGGTGATTATCTAGATTATCGTATGCATATAATATTCTTATATTATGAATGGTAAATGTTTTATTCAATTTCACGCTGATTTACAAAAGCTAATCGTATTCGGTATTTAGACAACAGAATGACAGTTGAAACATTACTAAATATCATCATTATAACTCACCATGATAACAATACGAGTACACAGTGCTTCACATTCTTCCATAGAATGGGAGGTTAGAACAATACTGCAACCTGGAGGGTTATGGTTAGGTTACTATGATAGATTCATGAAAACCAACAAGCTACATATATCTTTCAAAAATATTTCTAGAATCTATTTTTAAAGTTTAAAGTCGGTATCTGTTCGGCATCCGTACAGAATTTCTCAAAAGACAAAGAATACGATTCCAAAAGAAACATTCAAGTATAAATAGAAAAGATCCCACTTAATGAGTTTAAATCTAAACTGACCAGTTCCGCGCAGGTAACACAGTACATCCCAGAGGAAACGTCTAGCAGTGGGGTCCATACCAGCAGTTGGTTCGTCCAGGAAAATAAGTGGAGGAGATCCGATTATTGCTAAACCGGTCGACAACTTCCTCTTGTTTCCTGTGGAGATAGAGATAAGATACCAAGAAAGGTACATGCGATTGATCATTGGAGTGCTTGGATTGACAGAAGATAAATCCTCCTGGACAAACCTTTCCCCAGAGATAAAAGTACTTAGTACAACTATACCCAACGTAAAAAGGAATGCATCTTAAAAACAAAATACCGATCGATGAAGTGTTTATGGATTTCTAACCTCCACTGTAAGATCTACATTCCTTCTCAGCGTGATCTCAAGGTTGAACATCCTGATAACTTCGTTAACACTATCATCTAAAGCAGAGTAGGGTACCCCTCTTAAGTTAGCAAACATTTCCAGTAACTCTCGGCCCGTTAGGTGCCCTGCAAAGTTTGAGAGTTAGAAAAAGATCTAGTAAAAGCCTCCCTCATAACTTTCGTGAGGTTAGCATACCAACAAATACATAATCATTAATCATAATCATGGTAATGATAATAATAAAGTAATAACATAAAAAGACATGACTTCCGTCACAAAGAGAAGATAATGAAATTAATCAAGTTTTCATCTCGTTATTTGAAATCCCACCTATAAGAGCGTCGAACTGAGGACAATATCCGATAAACTTCTGAGCACTCCTCAGGTTCCTGGTGACGTCATGACCGTACAAATACCCTTTCCTGACGTCATCACCGTGTCACCTGTCATCATATTGAATGTTGTGGTTTTTCCTGCCCCGTTGACCCCTAACAAACCAAAAGCATTCTCCCTTAGCGATGGCAAGAGAAAGGTTCTGAACAGCAGTTGTTTTTCCGAACTGACGATGAAGGTTTCGCATAACAACACTTTCAGAGCTGACCAAACTTGATAGGTTCTCGTTTACCTGATGGATGCCATAAGATCAGACAATTTATTTTTAACTCTTGAAGTTTATTTGGAATCTTGTAGTTGTATATACGTGAGTCTGGACGCGATTTAAATTACAAATTTCGATGTTAAACTGGTGTCCTCGTACCCTAGTTCTTTCACCGGTCACATTATCATCCTCAGCTTCACTGACGCCATTATTGGCTTTTCTGCTGCATATTAATTGGCAAATGAATTGGCTCACTTTCGTCAGTTTAGCCCGAATAACAAACCACCACGTTTCAATAATTAGCAGACCGCCCATGTAGACTATAGCACATATTACTAGTGCTAGAACATGGCGTCCAACACCGTTACCATCGAGTGTGAACAATGCTGAAAGTTTGCTATTGTAAGATGTAAAAATATAGCGACACTAAAAGAGCTCCATTTGAAGTGACACTACTGATTATTTTGTTTACACCAGGAGATAAAAATATTGCGTTGAACGATATTATCGCGAGATTTGTCAATAGTGCACAAATTAACTACCCAAAGCATGAAATGATACCTTAACCTAATGTATAACAACTTACCAACAGGTTTAAGATGACCACACTGTGCAGCAGATTTGCCGACAGCGTCCATACATGTTTGATATGTTAAATACTTAGAGCGCAGTAGCATGAGGTTATCTGAAACATATTCATTTAAACTTTGTCCAATTGCAATGATTTTATCTCAGAAAAACTGTCTTCTGTCTCTGTCTCTGTCTCTCTCTGTCTCTCTGTCTCTCTGTCTCTCTGTCTCTCTGTCTCTGTCTCTCTGTCTCTCTGTCTCTCTGTCTCTCTCTCTCTCTCTCTCTCTCTCTCTCTCTCTCTCTCTCTCTCTCTCTCTCTCTCTCTCTCTCTCTCTCTCTCTCTCTCTCTCTCTCTCTCTCTCTCTCTCTCTCTCTCTCTCTCTCTCTCTCTCTCTCTCTCTCTCTCTCTCTCTCTCTCTCTCTCTCTCTCTCTCTCTCTCTCTCTCTCTCTCTCTCTCTCTCTCTCTCTCTCTCTCTCTCTCTCTCTCTCTCTCTCTCTCTCTCTCTCTCTCTCTCTCTCTCTCTCTCTCTCTCTCTCTCTCTCTCTCTCTCTCTCTCTCTCTCTCTCTCTCTCTCTCTGTCTCTCTCTCTCTCTCTCTCTCTCTGTCTCTCTCTCTCTCTCTCTCTCTCTCTCTCTCTCTCTCTCTCTCTCTCTCTCTCTCTCTCTCTCTCTCTCTCTCTCTCTCTCTCTCTCTCTCTCTCTCTCTCTCTCTCTCTCTCTCTCTCTCTCTCTCTCTCTCTCTCTCTCTCTCTCTCTCTCTCTCTCTCTCTCTCTCTCTCTCTCTCTCTCTCTCTCTCTCTCTCTCTCTCTCTCTCTCTCTCTCTCTCTCTCTCTCTCTCTCTCTCTCTCTCTCTCTCTCTCTCTCTCTCTCTCTCTCTCTCTCTCTCTCTCTCTCTCTCTCTCTCTCTCTCTCTCTCTCTCTCTCTCTCTCTCTCTCTCTCTCTCTCTCTCTCTCTCTCTCTCTCTCTCTCTCTCTCTCTCTCTCTCTCTCTCTCTCTCTCTCTCTCTCTCTCTCTCTCTCTCTCTCTCTCTCTCTATCTCACCTCTTCTTTATTGTTTAGAAGTCATCATAAATATATATATATATATATTAGTTTGATGAGCACTCACACATGGAAGCTGCCATAGCGTAGTGAGGATGGATAAGGAGGGCTCGGTCAACATGTATAATCCATTCGTACTTGTTCCCAGTAATGCCTTTAAACTTATTGATGAACTCTTCAGCTTCATATATCGGGTACACTATCATGTAACAGAGGAAGCTGAAATGATATATCATCGGGTAAGAACCTGTTAAATTAAGATGGATTTTTTTAAAGTCTTCAACTTTTCATTGTTTACACGTGAAATCAGCATTTATGTAAGAATTAAATCAAATACGTAAAAGGTTCCTGGTTAGACTTAGACAGGTTATTTGTTGTCAGGAGTAGCCTCGGCCGCACGGGTGTCAGGTGACTGGGCACGATGCTAACTTATCATGGACTAAGTCATAAATCTTAGAAACTGATAATTTCTAATAGAATTGGTTTGGAAATATCTATGAACTGCTGACTACTTACCCTGCAAGTGGTACGAAGAAGAAGATCATGGTGACAAAACCGTAAGCGGAGGATGTCTTCTCGAACAAATGGGAGAGGATGTAGACTAGTGGGATGCTAGCAAGTCCGGCAAGAATAATGGTCAGGAAGAAGGTAGCACAGTATTCACCTTCAGTCAAACCAGTCACCTGGGTGATATTGAAAAGTAATAAATAATAAGATACTGATACATAGGAAGGAGGTGGTGGTCATATGTGTACTCATTTTGTTGTCTTGCCATGAAAAGATGTTTATAGTCAGAATCAAGAAAATAGCTCAGAAATCAAGGAAAGGGCCCAGCTAGGCCTCGTTACATTGAGTTTGGGCGTTACATTTTACCTGGAATGCAAGGATGAGGAAGAATATGAGAAGAGAGCAGAGGAAATAGACCAGGAAATCCCAAGTAATCATGGACAGCCAGTACACCGCACTGTTAACCCCAGAAATCTGCTGCAGATGCTTACTCTTACTTGTTCGCTCTTCTACTGGATTCTGGGGTTTCAATTAGTAATTAGTAATTAGGGATCGGGTAATGATACTTAAACATAGTCAAGTTTGTGAAAAACATGACCCTATAAAACCCCTTGATGCTTAAAAATTGTTTTTGACTGTAAGCGCATACTTACACAACCAATCACCCGCTCGTCTAAAAATAGAGAACCAATCTTATTTTAATATTACGATAATTTATCTCCTTGTCCCTGTTATCTCGTGTCTTCAGTTTTCATCACATGACACACTTTGAGCGCTCTCATTGGTCAGAGACGCGCATTTCGACACGGACTCGCTCTTGTGATAAACGGATAGATAATATAAAGCGAACTTGACATCGACGGTTTTAATAAACGCTACTTGTTTTTAGAAAGCGATGTGACCGGTTGTCTTAATCCAAGCTGGTCAGAAAAACAAACATGACGGACTGAATTCTCTGCACAATTAGTATATAGACATTATTAATAATAATAATAATAACTAGAAATTTATACATCGCTTTATAGACAAAAAGAACTCAAAATCCAAAGATTCAGTTCTCGCCATCTAAAGCGACATTAGACAAGGATAAGAATTTTTAAATTTAGGTTCTATAATATGCCAGGTTCGCCTACCTGAGTAAAAACGGCGTATATAAAAGCGCCTGCAAATATGTAAGTGATAACAAATCCGAAGAGATCCTCGGTAACTCTAAATTCATCCCCTTCGTTTTGGAATTCAGGCAGTGGCTTGTTGGTAGCGGTCACTGTTACATCCTTGTCGTTCATATTCAGGATCAAGTTTGTGATAGCCGATGAGAAGGCTGGAATAAGATGGAAGCCTTGATAGCTTATCCAACCAGTTATAACATCCCCTTTAGCTTCATCAGAGTCGATGGGATCATCCTCAGAGGACAGTTTTACTAAGGTGTCACCGTCTTTATAGCCAGTTTGTATCTGAGGGCAACACTGTTAACACTGTGTAACTGTAAGAGATCAATCCTAATTGTTAAAATGAAAATATATCTATGATGATCACATCTGTTATGTATAGTAGAGCGAACTGAGATTTATAAATTTTAGTTCGCTCTACTATACATACATTGTGCTTGGAAAAAGTCACGAGAGAAAAAAAAGTGGAACCTTTGTTCCTTCTTTGTTGTAGACAGTGTAAGAGTCGGAGGTGTCCGACAATGTTAATCCACCTGAAATATTCAATATTTGGCATGTTTAAAAATAAAACGGAACTGGGAATTGTTATTTTTGAGAATCCTTAATCTCTCAGTTTTAAGCGGCTGGCAATGGAATTGTTTTATTAGAGATAGACGTACCTTGGACATCGACGAAGAAGCTGCCTTTATTCTCGGTTGCTTTTTTCAGGTATAAGTTTTGGTAGAAGTTGGTCTTTTCGTTGGGGTCTTTTGGGTTAGGTCGACTGAAGTGAATCGGAAATATGGAGAAACTCGGAGTATCTACGAATACTGTTGAAAATGCAACAAAAACTCTAGCCATTTAAAATAATCATTTCACGAAGCTTAGACGAAACTTCTCAAATTTGGAGACTTATTAAATTGATTGAACTCCACACAAATTATCTAATTAAATTTGTATGTTACCTGACAGTGCAATCTGCTCCTTTTTTGTCCTCGTCGACCGTTAGATCAAAGCATGATGCACGACAGAAAGTATAAGTGAACTTCGAGTCTTCATAATCATCGTAACACACATCGTATTTAAGGACGTCCAAATCAATGCATTTCGTATTCAACTGTGGGTAACTACTTGTCACAAATTCATTGTTTATGTACACAAAATTAGCAAGTTGATTATGTCTTTATGTTAGATAACAATAATTAATAGTAAATCTAGTGAACGACAAGAAAATAAGATCGGTACAGCTTTTAAAATTTGGATCTCTTTGTAAGAAATCAGAAAATTATATTTTGTTTAGGGTCTAAGGTCCCATACCTGTAAGAAAGGGTTTGAGCAACAATCTTTTAGAGTGCCTCCATAACTGCCATCCAGAGCGTTAGTTTCGTCTGTAAAGTCCGTCAGCATCACGTCAAGTTTGTTCTTCAGGTAGTCTTTTATTTTCGAGGATTGGTCGTCTTTCGAGGATTGGTCGTCTTTCGTGTTCCTGACATCTAAAATTCCAGGAGTCAACAATAGTGTCAATTACGTCAAATTCAACTCTACTCTCAGCCGACAAGACTACAAGAGATAAGGTTAACGCTGAATCAAATTTGTACAGTTATTTTTTTGATAAGATGATATTTGGTCAATGTTTTGACATCCTAATTTTTTACTACAATGAAACTAAAAGCTCCTTTCACTTACCAGCAAAATATACATTTGCCTTTATCTCACTGTTAGGATACTCGTTTAGGGAGAGAACTCTAGGAACTCCTACGGTAATAGATTGCATGCCCTTGTAAGTGAATAACCCCACCAAGATGAAGAGAATGGGAATGAAACCCATGCCAAGAGTAATCCATTTGTTCCGCTTGCTCACAATCGCTCTGTAAAATTTCCAAATTTATGGCGGAGCAGGTATTATCGCACCAATAATTATAAACACTAACAATTAAATAAACACCCTCTTATAATTTATCTCAAACCTTTTCTTGAGCAGACATAAGAATTGTTGACCAAGAAGAGGTACTCCACTGTTCAGTTCATTTCTATCAAACTTTCTAATCTTTCTCTCGTCTTTATTATCCGCACTGAATAAGAAACAGTATTAAATCCAGTGCCAATACGAGAACAGGTAAAGTAGTTACCAGGTTAAAGGCATCAGAATATTGTCCGAAACCTCCCCAAAATCATTAATTTATCTTAAACATTCAAACTAAGCATGTAGGTGACTCGACGAAACTCACTCTATAGCAGCTACATTGCTGTCGTGTCCCTCGCCTGCCTTCATGAATACTTCCTCCATTGTGGTGAGAGATACTCCAAAACTAGCAACACCATAATTTCCAGAATCTTCCTCAAGTACCTACGAGATAGTAACAGTTAATAAGGAACTTGTGATGATTGTGAAGGGCCTAGAATTAATAATTATGGTAAAAATATTATGCATCTTGAGTAAGTTAGTAAGTTATGAGGACGATCCATTGATATGCATTATCGGGTTTTTGAGTACGTCTAAACTCCTGGACGATAAAATATAGATATGATAACTTGATAAGCCAGACTTATGAAAACTAGGACATTTAATTGTTACTTAGTTTGTTAGGGAAACCAGATCGTCCTTACATTGACCCTTTTAATAAGCGCCAAAAAATAAGGAGCCACAAAATAAGAGGTCAAAATTGGCCTTCTTTAGATTTTGGTAATTTTCGGTAACTTTTTTCAGATCTTCTCACCTGGAAAAGTTTGACAAAGTGTTGAACATCACTGGCACTCAAAAGGTAGGACAGCTCACTGCCAACGTTGCTGTGACACGTCGCACTTGGAACGTGGCTCTGGATGAAGGTGGTGAGATTCTCAACCTCTGAGTCTTTCATGTCCGCTGATTCCTTCACCAGAGTCAGGTGATATCCCACTCCGTATCTACGGAAACAGGAAATAAGTTCTCTTTTTGTTAGATCTCTGTTATGTGACGAGACCAACTAAAATATAGAAATATAACACCATATCTCAAACATGCAGACAATTACTTTCTCTTGAGGAATAGAGAGGATCCGGAGCAGACTAACTGTCCAGCAGCCATGATAGCTATTCTGTCCCCAAGAAGATCAGCCTCGTCCATACTGTGCGTTGTGATGATTATAGTTCTACCAGCCTGAAAAGGAGATTTAGATAGAGAGTATGAGTGGTTTGATCCATGAGTTAGGTTTGGGTTTTAGAGCGTACTCGCCATTCGGCAAAGCCTCTAGGTCTTATAATTCTCATATTACATACAGCCTTTAAGATGGAAAGGTTGCTTTTGAACTACAGAGTTTATGTAAATACGAAAAAGTAAACTTGCTTCTGCAAAACGGAAAAGATTTGAAGAGCAAATGAATAAATCTTCGTGTTTGCACCTTTAATTTTAGAAGCATGTCCCACAAATCTCGTTTTCCCGATACGTCCATTCCAGTGGAGGGTTCGTCTAGCAAAACAATCTTACTACCACCACTCAGAGCGATTCCAACACTGTAAAGAGAATAAATTTCCAAACTTAAAAACTTAACAATTCTTCTCATTTTATCGAACTGATCTCCATGACCCTAGTTTTAAATCTAGATTTAAATTGAAAAATTGTTAGAAACATCTTACCTAAGTTTACGTTTCAAGCCACCAGATAAACTTTTTGACATTTCGTCTCTTTTTTCCTCGATACCTAAAGCCTCCAACATTTGCTCAATCTCGTCCGCTATTTCCTTCTCGTCCTCAACCCCCTGAAATGCGTTACAATTTGAGAGTTAAAGTTACTCTATGCAGTGCTTGACCATTGTTAGAAATAAAACGTTTGCCTTGTTGTACTCCAAACAGAACTTATCTACCCAGGAAATTTCCAGAAAGTTTCAGTACCTTGAGACGGATAAAGAAGTCGAGGTGCTGCTGAACGGTTAGGAATTTGAATAGTATGTTGTGTTGTGGACAAACTCCCATACTTTCGCGTACTCCTGGTATTTATACAGGTTTTATTCCGGGTGGCATAGAAAATAAATCATGACAGGGTTAGATTGGTATGGATAAGGTAGATGCAAGTGATTAACAGTACACTCTCTTCAGAAATCAGCCATTGACTGAGAATGATAGTTTAGTTCTTAAAAAATTGTTGTAACGTTTTATGACCATTGGATTTGAGTTATAAGAAGAAAATCTCCAATTAAAATGTGAGTAAATGTTAACAAACCGGTCATGTCGTGTATAATGTTGTGTCCTCCCACAGTAGCTTCACCCGAAGAGGGAGGGTACATTCCTGTCAGCATATTTATTGTCGTTGTTTTACCTGGGGGTGGGAACATTTGATCAGGCAAATTCAAAATTAGATTCAAAGCGGTTTTGAATATCAAATGGGTTGAGTTTAAATTGGAAATTAATTCAAATTGGAAATGATTTTGGGAAAAAAGGCCCTTTAATCTTTTAAACTATCATGGTGGCAAGAGGCGCTGGCACAAATTTAGGACAACAAAATAAAAATTGCAACTACATATTTTGATCTCATTGTGTAGTACTAAGCAAATTAACGAACGAACAACTAAAAGTAATGTTAATTACCTGCTCCGTTATGCCCTAATAGAGCTGTTATCTGACCCTCATACATCTCCACCGACAGGTTTTTAACCGCCACTTTCTCCCCATCAAGTGTCTAGAGGATATACAAGATTAAGAGATCAAATAATAATATTAACTGCTCCTGGACTTCCTAACTAAATTAGTTAGGGAACTAAAAACTTTTCATACAACTGTAGTTCGATCTAACATCCAACCTGGAAACTTTTGTTGAGATTCTTGATAACAATCCCAGCTTTCAGTTTCTGTGTGACTTTCTCATGGTACTCTGGGTCTACCTTATCATGATCTGTTCCATTACTATCCACCTCCTGGGAGATATACATTTGTAAGGAATAAGATCACGTGGTATCCACGTGTGTTACCACGTGTTATGCACGTGTGTTACCACGTGTTGTGTATTGTACGTGTTGTGTACTGCACGTGTTATGCACATGTTCCATTATTATCCACCTTCTGAGAGATACATATTTGTAAGGAATAAGATCACAGTTAACAATTTGACACAGTACCTTCTCACATTCTCTCGCAAAACTGCAAAAACGTCTGATTTACGTTTACTAATTGAAAAATATGGATTGCTGAGGCAGTACACTGACGAAGATTTGAGATAATAATCGGTCTGCAGGCAATTATTCAGTCAGTATTCTGAAAAAGATTATCGCTTTTTTATTCATTGGAAATCCCTAAGAGATGTGATCTTACAGCCGAATTCATTTCGTTATTTCACTTTGTTCATGACACCTTAATCAGAATTAGTGCTGGATCATGGCCGCGATAATCTTCTTGTGTACAGTAAACAGTCAGGTTGAAATAAAACTAACCTCAAAGAATAAGGTCTACTAATGTGTAGATTTATGAGAAATAAATATGATCACCTACATAACCAAAACGTACACGAGCCAACAATTTCAGGAAATTCTCTCAGAAATTCTCAGCCTACTATAACCAATCAAACACTGCCTATTTGTTCACGTGACAAATTTGGTGCTTAGAATACTTATGACATTAAACATGGTTCAGTGAAGAATAGTTAAATCAGGGCTAGCACACCAGGATACGTATTTACTTTGAGATATAAAATGTAGCATTTGTGTGGTGTGTACACTGTACAGTAAATTCCAGATCATTTATCATTTCAGTTCCACGGAAAATTAGTTCTACTCATGTGTAAATTTGAACAAAAATAAACCGTTGTATTGTTGAAATAAGATACAAATAAAATAAAATAAATAAATACAAATCATCAGCCAAAGATTCTTTCTGAGGCCTACTCAGGAGCTGATTTTAGTGTTTGATTTCGGTGTTTGGTATCGTGCTTAGAAATAAATGGACCAGTTACAAACTGTTTAGATGTTCACGTGACATATTTGGTGCTCATAATACCCATAGGGCCGAGACCTATTTTACATCTTTTAACACTCTCAACTCTTATACTTATTATATCTAGAACGGTTTTTTTGTTTTTTTTTCTTAGCCGGCTTTTTCGGTGCTGTAAGTTGATTGCTTATTGGCTGTCTCGTGTCAAAACAATGCGATACGGTTGTCAAATCTGAGTGTCCATCACTAGTAAGTAATGATTTAGTTTGAGATTCGACAAAATGTTTGGGCCTATTTTGATGGCGTCACCCTCTATTATCATGATTATGTTTTAAGTTAGTTTTAAGAATTGCATTGTTGTTTAGTTCCCGTAGGTAAGATACCAATTCCAGCGAGAACAGAGAAAAACGTAAATATAAATAGTTTTAAATTTAACAGCTTCAATAGATAATAGCAATATTTTAGGATATACTCGGGAATCAGTAGCGTAATTTTTTATTGATAAATATTGGCTAAGAACTTGGCCGTGTTTTAGATAGGGTAGCTGAGCAGTGAGCAGAAATCTTAATCGATTCGGTTTAGTAAAAAAAAGTGTGACAGGAATTGAAAAACAAATTAGAAACTCAATTCTGGACGTTGCATTTAGCTCCAATTAGCAGCAAAAACTAATCATCTTACCGCTACCTCAGTGAAACCGTTAACCTGACAAATAGCAATAAATAGTCGAATAGTGTGGAAAACTAGACAGTGCTTTTGATTTAATAAGAAATCAACATCGGTGATTGACAATTTTCAACCGGCATAAATAATAAGCGAACATTTTCTGGTCATACTTTGAATAAAGTTTGAACTGAAAAACGATATGATTAATTGTTCAGAATAGTGTGATCAATGAATGACAGTAACTGCACGAGTTTGATTTAAAAGGTCAAAAGATTAAAATTTGAACGTTCGACAATTTTTTGCTTCAAATATTTTCGAGACTTGCCGATATATTCAATTTCACATAATCGCGATCCTGATCTGCATATTGTTAGCTATAATTTAAGTTTGGCATGCATGTGATACAATTACTTTTAATGATAGATCGGAGATCCAAGATATATTTCAAAGCAAAACTTAAAATTTCAATACAATACGAACACTTCAGTGACTCTATCATTAATGAAAAGTTACCGAACAGAACTTTACTAACCACATTCTTGGGTGTAGTTCCGCACCAGTAACTCTTGGTTAAAAAGAAGAGGGGACTGTTGGGAACTCCAAACTCTCCCGGGAACACGTTCTCAACATACCTGCAAGAGTCGGGGTTCAGTATAAACTAAAAGTTGGGGTTATAGAGCACACTGTTACCTGGGGACCCTGACCCTAGGCTTAGTGTGTAACATAGTTATAACTATGTTACACACTAAGCCTAGTGGCTTAGCCTGTAACTGCCATAAATGGCAGTGACAGGCTGAGCACCACCCAGTAAAGCACATTGATCCTAGGGCCGTTGCAAATAAAATAATATATTATAATCTTTGCCAGAGTTAGTTCGAGATTCAGCTACCTTTTAAAGGTGTTACTGGAGTGTTACTTAAAGGTGTTACTGGAGTGTTACTTAAAGGTGTTACTGGAGTGATACTTAAAGGTGTTACTGGAGTGATACTTAAAGGTGATACTGGATACACTCACTTTGTTTCGGTAGGAAAAATGTAAGATGAATAGAGATTGCTAGCGACGCATCGATTTGTGAACAACAATGAACATTTCAACACTTAGCCACGTCATTGCTCCCAAGGGATTGGAAAGAGCCATATCATACCGCTTAATATTTGCGATTAAGGCATAAAGAGGTTCAGGCTGATCCTCAAATCCAAAACATCCTTACATTTTAATTCATGTTGTGCACTAGGTATAAGTTGTATCAATGTAGTTAATTCATCTCTAACTGATCTTAGAAAACGAAGAAAGTGATAAGACTTTTGAAGCAAATATTCTAGATGTGCTCAGTGCGATGGGTGGCGTTCTTCGTAAATATTAACGTAAAGTATGATTATCTTGAATGACCATGGCAACGAGGCATAATCATTTATCATCTGGTTATAAAATCCTGTTTATGACGTATACTTTGATTTAAGGTAATCAGAATCTTACGTGACGATCATGACATCAGTAGTATTTTCCACCGTGGTAATAAAATATATAGCTTAATAATAATTTAACACCGTGCGCGCGCGCGCGTGATCCAGAGTCGATAATTGCGCGGTGACAAATACCCTATTTTATTTCGAGCGTTCCAAATCTTACAGACTAATGTTGGCTGGCATTACGTCAGAGCACATAAACAGTCACATACGGGAGATTCCAAGCAAGAATTCGCTATATAAGTAAGTATATAATATCGATAGTGGCGGTAGTTGAGTGTGTCCCATATCCTAGCACCTTGCCTAATTGTCCGGTCATTTACTCTGATCCACATTCCACCCTGTATATTATCTTGATCTCGAAAGTCGAAAGTCGAAAGTCGAAACTGGACCTACGGTTATATGGCCCCCAGAATATAGGTCGTTTTTTGAGCACTTAGAAACAGGTGTTAAAACTACTTCTAAGCATGTTTAGGGCTGTAAATATGTACATAATAACCCTTTAAATGTTTCTTGGGTAGTTGAAAATAATTATTAGGTTTTTAAGTGTACTTTTTTTTCACCTGTAAAAATACCATTTTTTAACAGGGCCCCCAGAATATAGGTCCAAACATCTGTTCCTAAGTTGTTCTAAAATTGTCACAGACAGTTATATGCAGTCAGAATATGTTGCTGAGACTGTATTGATGATGCCAATGGCTCCAGATACTAAATTGAAATGGTTTAGAGTATACTTAATAGCAAAAAATCAAAAACTACGGCCCCCAGAATATAGGTATGCAAAAATCGTCCTCAAATACTCCACCTTCATACATTTTGATGATGCCATCTCTTCAGCATATGTTCTTTAACTGTTTCTCATCACTACCCCACATTCCTTAATGCTCAGGGTGACAGAGAAAATGCAGAATCTTGGTCGCTATTTTTTTTTTAAAACCTATATTCTGGGGGCCATATACCCGTAATGAGTAAAATCTTTAATTTTACTAGTTAAAAAGCTTTCATGCACTCATTTAGTAGGGATCTTAACTAAATACTTAAATAAGATTGAAGGAGTGTCCCTAGATATGATTGAGGGGGGCTGTTTTTATCTGTATCAATACAATGTGCACCTCAATGACTGTAAATCAGACATTTTTGGCCGCCAAATTTTTTAAAGGCCTAACTCAAAATTCTGTCCCAAAACTTAAGGTCATGAGACAATTCTACGTTGATTCTGAAAATTTCATGTGAAAATATTGAAACCCTATTGAGTTCTATTGTTTTGAGCGAAGTCAGTTTGAGATATGGGCGATTTTGTTCATTTTTTGCGATTATTTGAACACAGAATCCACAGTTAGGTAGATATTGAGCTGATAATCATAGAGAATGTGTAATATATGCTTACCTTCCATATAAAGTTGGTTTCATTCAAAAATATTGATATTTGACCAATTTATGGACCAAAATCGATCAAATTTGGTGCGTATGCCCAAATATGGGCATATGGTTTTTGTTTTTATCCCATAACTCGGCCAATTTTTATCCAATTTTGATAAAACTTGATATGTGGGTTCAGGAGACTAGTAGCTACAAGTAGAGCATCCCAAAGCATGGTTTTGGGCATGTTCAGGGTTTTTGACCAACCTATATTCTGGGGGTCGTATAGACCTATATTCTGGGGGCCCGTAAAATTGTGGTGGCCATAACTTTTTTCCAAATTGTCAGTTTGCAGATGTCTCGATGAAAAGATAGCTTAAAATAATACTTATACTCATACCAGTAGTCTTAATGGCATGTGTTGGACAGATTTTTGTCATGACAATTTTTCGCCATATTTACCCCTCTAGAAAATGACAACATCGTTTAAATCTTTCGCTGTCATGACCAAATATACCAAAATACCTCATGTAGGTCCAAAATTTTTATCCAGAAACATTAGTTACATGTTTTACTCCAACATAGCAGTAACAGATCCCATTAGTATCGCTTATCTTGGTTAGAACTGTATCCACTAACATGACCTATATTTTGGGGGCCACCTATATTCTGGGGGCCATATACCCGTATGTGACAAGTTTGCTCCCAAAACCAAAAGTATATAGTGCATCATTCGTATGAGTGATAGTTAATAAATCGAACTCTTGGCTACAAATTGAGTTGGACAAAAACCGAAGGACATAATTGCGCTACTGTTAATCGACCAGGGGTGTAGGAATGATTTTCCTCAGTTACAAATACAAATGCAAATGCATATTATGTTTGCTGTCTTGTTAACATGAGCTAATTCCTAGTATGCTGCGTCTGGAAAATGTAAGCGAAGTATCTAGTTACTTTATATAAACACACCATGCAACCGGCAAGAATGTGATGACTTATGTAAACATATAACAATGTATCATAACTCAGCCACGTACGAGTTATAATGGACAAAATAGTGCCTGTGTTAACTGTAAGAATGGTATTTGTGAATGTTCCGTATCAGTTCCATATTTATAAAGTACTTATGTCTTAACTTATTTGAGCTCTTCATTCATAATTAAAACAATTAATTCATATTATGGAGCCAGGGTCATTGGTCAAGGGTGAGTGGACTGGCTGCACCTGGTTAAAGCACGTCCAATCCATTACATAATAATACTCAACTTATTTTTTATTAAATAGTGTTGAAAGTATTACTATGTAATACTATGTAATACTATGTAATATTTATTTGTTAGCACAATATTTAACGATACAAGTGTTCATCTGTACTATGACTCTTAAAAGTGTAAGACTAATTACACCACTTTCTATTTTTATTAAACAGCTTTTAACACAACTTGATGTTTCTGAAACATCATGAACTGTTCTGGTAAGGTTGATAGAATTCATGCAGTTTTACATTCACTTCCTGTTTCTTGAATAGTTACACAATAATGTATACTATAATTGTATGATCATAGTAGATGGACCAGCAACTTCAAAGTCCAGTACGTGATCAAGAAATGTGATATATATTAAGATTGTTAAACAAAAGATATCTTACACGTAATGGTAGCACGAGACACGGAACAGTTATAATTTTCTGGTCTTTGATCTTATTCTGATAGACTGCCAATGATATGTTCTAGAAGCTGGTCAACGAACTTTCTTTCTAGTTGCGTGCTGAACTGCTGTACAGAGCTACACTCTACATCAATACTATCAGTTAGACTAAGTAATCAGGGACCGATCGGAAGCAGACACACGATGTATAAATTATAATTATATAAGATATATTATACATCGGGTGTTTCATCTATATTATAATTCAAAGAATTATTTCTGTATGTCTGTACGACCGCCCACGTGCGAATTATATGAGAAATAAGAAGTTAGATTAAAAAACTTCAAGCCATTAACAAATGATATAAGAAGGCATCATTGTCGAATGAAACAAAGAGAAAATTTATCTGAAAATTAAAAGGTTGATCGTAAAACTGGTATTCTAAGTGATTTTCACATTTTCGCAGCTCTCAATAAAAGAATTTGCCTTTCTAACTTTCTAAAATGGAATCTTACTCGTCCCATATTAGATTCACAAAACCGAATCTTTATAAAGAAATTTCAAAATAAAATTCTAAAAGACTTTATATCTTGTGTCGAAACTCTTGCTCTTGGGTTTATTCACACCAATTCTGCTAGCCTCTATTTTGTGCTTTTCGCTAATTTCCAACAAAACACCGACCTTGTCACATCACTGATCCCTTTATACGAGTATCATCAACTTTCGACTTCGGTCTTCTACCCCGACATTATTCTTGACATCATCTTTAAATATATTTGGATCCAATCCTAACAAAGGTCCTGCTTCTGAGCTCGTTGGTTCATGAACCACGTGGCTGTGCGTCTTTGACTCTGTTTTTACAAAATCCTCACCTGATGCTACAACCATATCTTTCAGGTCATTAACGTGTTGGTCCTTGGCAGCCAGCAGCTCCTTGGTAGCCAGCAGCTCTTTTTGTAAACCAACAATGATTCCCTGACTGATAATCGCATCAGACTGATGTTTCTGATTATTGTTCTCCAACTGGATAATGTACTTTGCCTGTTTGTTAACAATGTTCAACGCAGCACTGAGACTCTTAGCCATGGCATCCCTGGTAACTTCTCGACGTGTAGTAAAACAAAATGCGGGAACACCAGATCCAACATGTTGGAGATTCACTAGCCCGAGAGTTTGCCGGATCCACTCTGATCCCTCATCCGCCATTTCATCGAAATTTGTATCCTTGTATTTGTCCGTGTTATACATCATGTCGACCATTTTTTGCATCTTGTCCGTTTTATACATCATCAAACAACGCTGCAGACAAAACAAGTGAGCCTCGTTAAGTTGGCGATTAACTTCATTTAAATCAAAAATAGGAAATAAATGAACATCTCAAAGATCTGATAAGAAGCCTGAAGAAAATAAAATAAAAGAAATATGGATACATAAACTAAAACAACTTCTTCCATCCTGCTAATATTCTTAAACTAATATTTCTAAACTGATAAGCGAGCATTAATATATGTAAACGTATTGAAAAGTGCAAATACTGAACTGTATTGTAATCTAACGGTGCTCAAACGGGGTTTAATCTTTAAGAGGGTGCAGTCTATTGTTGTTAAAGTCTATTGTTGTTAAAGTTTGAAACTGTTGGCATCTCAGGAATTTTTGTTAAAATTGTGTAAGACTGCTGTCCTTTAATTCCTCAAAAAGGGCAAGTTGAAAGAAGGGCAAGTAAAACAACAGCGGTGGACTCATGGTTCACAGACAGATTGAGCTTTTTAAAGGGACAACAAGGCTTTAAAATCTTGAAGCTTTGCCATCAAGTGCTGTTGAGAAGGCTCTGCTTTCGCTCAACTTATTAAGCAAAATAATAGTTTCTAAGTCAATCTAATAAAATCACATCATCAATCTCATTAAAAATATAAATTACTGTCACTTACCAAGTGAGAGCTCCAAAGATGAAAATGTCAATGAAAAGCATGAGCATCACATCAGACACCGAGAATTCAGTAACAGCGCTGATTCCGTTCCCTATGTTGCTCCACTGTGCTCCAAGCTGAAACAAATTATTCATTTAAAAAATATGGAATGTTTGGACGACCCCTGGCCCTAGATCTTCTTCCATGCGCAAATCAAATTAAAGATCATTCGTTTTCTCTCGCGAAAATTAGTCCAAACGGGCATTACTTTCCACCACCTGGCTCAAATTAAAGCTGTAATTAAATAGTCTTACACTACTTACATCTTACATCTTACATCTTAACTTGAGAAGCTAGCAGCTAGTGGTTACACGTTGTACATGTCAATGAAGTGTATGGATTAGCTATAGATAAGTGCATTTGAATATTGATTACAGATACAACCATTACTGCGGGACACTATGCTCCGCTATAAATTGACCTACATTATGTGACCTATGTTGAGTTTCGTCAAGACTTGACGGGGCCATCACATCTTCTGACCACCCCATAGCGAAGTAAAGTATCGCTCGTTGCGCCAGCACAGCAGAGTTCGTATTTGGAGGAGTATATACCCTGATCGGTGACCGACAACTAAGAACCTCTCATTCCGGGTTCCCACAGGTATCACATCACATGGCAAAAATCCGGCCAAATTTTCGGAAACTGGAACCGGATTTGAAGCCGGCCGGAACCGGATTCAGCCGGATATCCGGTCGGTTTCAAGTTCAGATCATTGCTGGTCTTTTCGTGGAGGATTTTCCACATAATATTGAGAATGATGAATCGCTCCCGCCTTCGTTGAAGAGCCATCAGAGATAGATCTAGACCAAGCGATCCCAGTAGTGGAGATCGCGCATTCCTGATATTCAGGCGGTGAATGCTTTCTGTACACTCTCCAGTTCTTGGATATCGCTGATTTTTTTCGAGGGATGCCATAATGTACAGCAATATTCAATCAGACTTCGAACCATTTATTTGTATAGCGTCAGCATGATGGAGTGAGATCGTGTGTGAAATATACTAAGAACCCATGATGCTTTTTGGCGAGCTTTATCTGCAATGGCTCGTATATGAGGGGACCAAGAGAGATCACTTGACACTATCACGCCAAATTGTAGTTTTTATCATAAGGAAATTAATTTTGCTCTCATAAACAACGTGTTAGTTTTTGTGGCATAAATTTATAATAAAAGCTAAGAAAACTATAAGCTGGGTAAGTTATATACGCATAATAATAATATTATCATAACAATAATATTATCATAATAATAATTATTCTCTTTTAATTATTATTCTACTACAGGATCGCATTAAATGTGAGCAAAATCTTCTCACATTTAACTGAGGCATATTTGAAAGGTAAAATAATGATTACCCTGATCTTTTCCCATTCGGCGATAGTGACCAATCCGACAGATGTGCCAGAAAGGGGGAGAACAGACACCAACATCTTTACTCCTCTGAAATTATGGGAATATTTAAAATTTAATGGATTGTAGATAATATTGTAATTACTGGTAGTATTCGAGTCAATTAGGAATAGAAAATGATGTCGATAAAATATGCAAGCATGGTACGAACAATTTGATATAAAATCAAATAGAATTCAAATCCGATTTGAAAAAAACGACAGGTAAACCTCACAGTACTGAGAAAAAACTCAACTACAAAGTAACTACAAACTAACTACAAACTAACTACAAACTAACTACAAACTAACTACAAACTAACTACAAACTAACTACAAACTAACTACAAACTAACTACAAACTAACTACAAACTACCTACAAACTAACTACAAACTAACTACAAACTAACTACAAACTAACTAAAAACTAACTACAAACTAACTACAAACTAACTACAAACTAACTACAAACTAACTACAAACTAACTACAAACTAACTTCAAACTAACTACAAACTAACTACAAACTAATTACAAACTAACTACAAACTAACTACAAACTAACTACAAACTAACTACAAACTAACTACAAACTAACTACAAACTAACTACAAACTAACTACAAACTAACTACAAACTAACTACAAACTAACTACAAACTAACTACAAACCTGCCCAATTGAGGTATCCTGCTCGATAGCACCATGTACGGTAGATACTCTATAAAGGTCAGGAACCCCATTAAGGCTGGTGCTGCTTTCAAGTTCCTTTGTAGCGACCTGAAAAAAGGCTTGAAAGTCTTTCGAAAGAAAAAGGGTAGATTTACATCTAGATGATTTACGGTGCACTCGTTATTGCCTACCAGCATGAATATATTTATAATACCCCATTAAAAGACGTCCAGCTACCTTGTAGCTTAAATTAAGAATACTTATTTGAATATCTTCAACACTGAATTAACCATTTCTATCCTCTACACTGTTATTTTAGCTCCGAGTCCCAATGCAATGTTGCCTTTTTGAAGGACACAATGACAATACAAGCATATGACTGTTCATTCCTCTACTCCTTCAAGAAATAGTAACAATTGAGCAGTAAGATAAAAATAGCTGGCTGATGCTGACCACATTGTACTACGCTAAAGGAAGTCAGTGCTTGTGTATAATGTACAATGTAAAGTGTACTCTATACGCACGTTCTCTTTTTATAAGTTTTTAGAGTGGAATGTGTTCCGCTAGTTATGTTATAATAAACATATTTTATCTCCCATTATTTATTTGCTATGGTAACTGGTATGTCATAAGTTGAGAATTGGTGCCCTAGAGAAGATGGGTACACTCAGTATGTTTTAAAATTAGCTAACTTAACTTTGTTAACGTTGCTCACGATGTTATCAATTCAACTGTTCTGAGTCAAGATTTGCATGTGGTATTATCATTGATTACCAGCGGAATAAACAAGTTTAGGATTAATTTACACAGTCTTACTTGAGGCCACATTACATGTAACATTTATAAAGTATCATTGTTTCCAATAGATGTTAGCTGACGTAGCCTCTCTGCCCAAATGGAGAGGTAAATAAAGTGAGTGCCCCCCCCCCCCCCCCCCCCCCCGGCCCCCCGCCCCGCCCTACACACATAGTATCATTGTTAGCTGTTACACTGTATTAATACATAATATGTAGAAATAAGGATTGTCCACTCTAAGTGCAGGTAATCTTGGTAGACGACACAATATAATAGTATATTACGGAGCGTGAGAGTGCAAAGTTTCAAGTTTGTGATTATTATATGCAGGAATGAAATAATATCCAGCTCAAATCCTGACCCAAGAAGACAGTTAATTCTGAGCTAGAGCAAAAATAACAATCGTGCTCGCGAGACTGTTTTTGACTGATTCTTTCGCCCACGTACATGATCGGTGGATACATTTAAAACATTCGCGGACAAGAGCTATTAATAGCCAATCACAAGCAGACATAACATTTTCCACCAACAAGAAGAGAGGACACATTAATCACGCCATGGTCACTGGTCACGTACAGACGGTGGTCACGCACAGCATATTTGGGGACCAGCTATTGGCACACTGGTTTATGTTTATTATAATATTATGATAATATTGTATTACATAAAATTAGATAAATACGAATACCCGTAGGACATACCAACATATCCAACAATGAAACGATGTACCGTAGCACACAACACAAAACGTAAAATACAGTGGTCACGTACACACAAAATCAGATGCCTGGTTTCTTTAATAATCCTCACAGCGATTTTTGGACAAAAATCCATCGTTACTTAAGATAGGAATCTCAGGGTTTCTTGCTTATTATTACAGTGTTTTCTCCAAGCACGGTCCAATAGTAGTACAATAAGATAATATGAGATATTCATAATATGTAAATCTACTAATCTAATCTTCACGAATCATTCCCGGAATGTAACATCCTCAGCAGGCCAAGGTATAAACGTATAATTCGTGAACAGTAAACTTTCTGCTTTGCCGCCCCAAACAGCTCTAATGTTTGAAATATGGAGAAAATACATTTTAAACTTTCTCTTAAATTGTGAAACCCATTACTCAAACACGCCTAAGAGCACTCAAGTTTCATCTTTCTGTAATTCAACCAGTATTCGTGGAGAGGATCCTTTTTTTTTCTTTCAAATTTTCACTTGATTTGCAATGAAAGGCATGATATTGAGGTCAGATAGAACTTAGACATTTGAAAAACGAGGCCAGCTGACACGTTTTCTCAGCTGCTTTGAAGTAAAACTAAATTCACCAATGAACCACATTTAAAGATGAAGCACGTGACATAAGACCACGTGACATAAGACCACGTGACATAAGACCACGTGACATAAGACCACGTGACATTAGAGCATTAGACCACGTGTCATTAGACCACGTGACATAAGACCACGTGACATTAGACCACGTGACATAAGACCACGTGACATAAGACCACGTGACATAAGACCACGTGTCATTGCAAACCGTGTCTAGACGTGATTATTGCTCGATTTCTCACTTTATTATAATCGACAATGAAAATGGCAAGATACTATTTCTTAACAACACCATCTGCAGTTTCTATCACAAAGGTGACGACGGTCTTGGTACCAGATGTTATTACACTATCTTAAACCATGCCAAAATATACGATATTTGGTAGTTTTTGGGACACCAATTTATTGTGGGCGGGTACATATTTTAGTGCACAAAAACGTAGACCTACTTAGGATCTGGTTTAAATTTTGTTGAGCTAGACAATTTGTAAGATCGATAATGCATTATTTAATATTAAATGTTGCACAAAACATCAGTGAATTATATGAACACACAAATAGTAACAGTGCTTGTCAATTCATAAATCAAACGCGGGCTGGAGTCTTAGAGTTGTACGTGGGCTAGAATTTCAGATGACGCCATTGTCATGGATCGAATAAGCGCTTTCATATTTATAAAATTCTCATTGAATTAAGAAAGCTATGATATCGATTACAAAATGATGATCTTATGCCTCTTCTTTCTCGTAGCTATTTTATGGGTAGATTTTAATATGGTTTTTGGTTCGTTCGTACAAATGAAACATATTAGCGTCAAAACACGTCAGTGACTATTCGTTGATCATTACATTACAAAATATTTGAGTTACCTAAAATTAAATGATATTAGACAAGAAACTTTATAAACTCACGCTATGAAGAAGATGAAAGAAGTATGAGCTCCGTAGTAACAGAGTAGAAACACAAAAATAACCGTTCCGTCGCTCGAAGGTGTGTATCCGAAAAACTGAAAGGGAAATCCCGTAATAAACTCTCTGCTGTGGTGTTTCAAGTTTCATTTATCGGGGAGGAGGAAGATCTGACAAACAAACTTAAAACTTACAGGATCCTCAATATAAATCTAACAATAACTTTAATCTAGTAATTTATGTAATTGGTGGCTAAAACTGTTTTAGTTGGATATCAGTCATCATATATCTAGTAATTCAGTTTCCTACTAAAACTTTTTATCTTACCATAAGTGCGATGGTGTTCAGGGCGGAACAAGAGATTACAATGAAAGACCTCTGGATAATCCAACTCAGCCACATTATGGTATCAGACAGACCCATCATTCGCTGAATTTCTCTCATTTTAGAACACTTTTCCTGTTGAGTTTTATAGAATTTAATCAAAATATCACCACTCATATATGACATATCCCATAGTATTAGTGCAATGAATCAAAATAGAAACATCTCGAGTAATCAGAATTTCGTAACTTAAAATAAAACAAGATAATTTATAAGATGATAACCTCAACGATGTCAGATGCGATAGAAGAGGTGATAAGGAAAGCTCCAATAAGCATTGAGAAAGGCAGTAGGGTTGGGAGAAGGTTGTCAACGAACGGATCAGTCTTGGTTGATGGAATCGGCACGAGCTGAAACATGGTGTCATTAGTGTTATTAGAGTGAAACATGGTGTTATTAGGGTGACAAATGTCGATATCAGACTGAAACATGGTGATACCAGGGTGGTCTCACGATAAGATTCGTTGATACAGTAGAACCTCTATATTATAGTATAAATACAGGCATACATATTACTGTGCCTCTCAACTTCTCAATACCGGCAACCTCGATATACAGGCCTCTCATTTGGTGGAGGTATGTATATATCGAGTTGTAGTCCGACACAATACGACAGGTGAGGCATGACAAACCTAATGTTTGAAGCAACAAAAGTACTAACTCTATAATATAAAATATAACTTAACCCTATAATATAAAATATTCACTTAAAAGGAGCCCCTTTAAGTTTAGCTCTGAATTTACAACATTTCAAGCAAAATTTAGACATACCCTGAGGGCAATAGCAGGATTATAATCCACTTTTTTAACCATGAGGATACTTGATTCAATTAACCTTTGTAACGCAGCAAATCCTGTGTTATCGTACGCTCTGAAATAAAAGATAATTAATCTATAAATTAAGTATTCAAATTTAAATGATAAATGATTTAGAACAAACATGATGTATTTTCATGGTTAATGAACATAATATTGCAGTACAATTTCTATTTTACAAAGGGGGCTTGAGCAAATTCACTAGGGACATGGTAAAATATCGAGTAGATAATTATATTATTATTATTATTATATTAAACATCAATTATTTAAACTAACCCTCCTTGTATGAACTTTTCAGCAGGTTCTCGAAGATACAATCTTTCAGTGTTCCAATTTCCTAAAATATTTTTCAGATTATATTCACAAAATCATTCCTATTTATCCCATTTCTAATGTTACAAAATGTCTTGGATGAAAAGTTAAGTATTGTGGACTATGGAATTTTCGTAAAACATACAATAAATCTACCATCATTTCATGTCAGCAAATTTAAGAGTTTACCCCAATGCATCGCGTCATTTTTATGATATCTGAGTGAGTAGGATATGTTTTTCTCATCCCCTTCAAAAATAACCGCTGCTCTGAAAAGGCCGGAGCTCGTTCTGACGTAGTCATCAAATATCTCATTTGTGGGAAATACCACCAGATGCTTCTTCTCACTGTGAAATTATGAGATTGCTCAAAACCATTTTAAGAATATCTAGCCTGATATTTTAATCAAGAGAATGGTACACATTTTAATACAAAAGTAACAGATCAAAAACATTTAAGATCAAAAACATTTACATTGGGGGGGGGCTGAGGGTTCATTTTCCTAAGGGCTCTTGATACACTTTGGTTTACAACATTCCCTTTTGGAATGGGCCACAGCCAAAGAAACTAACTTATGGCCAACATTTTTGTGAGATACAAGATGATACCACTTACCCAGCTTCTATTTCTTTGAGTTTTTCAATGTAATTGTCTTTTGTAAGAGTTGTTACACCATCAACATCATCAGTTAGTTTATACGCACCCATTTTTGTCATTTGTTTAGCCACTTCCTTAACTGAAAACAATCTTATTTTAATATATAAATGTGATGATATAAACATGAAATGACTCAATTTTTACCAACGCAATTTTAGCAGTTTTTTCTCAGTTTATTGCTCATAAATAATCATAATATCTAGATTTCATTAACCCCAAAGTCCAAAAATAGGTATCTCGAAAAGAGGATAAATTACCTAAGTCGTTCTCAGGAGACATTGCGATGATTTTCTTGGTAGCCTCCGATCCCCAAATATCATGTAGAGGATCCGTCAACATGGATTCTCCTGAAAAAAATCGTACATTTAATTGATTTATCCATATTATTCAAAATTCTTGAGAGCATACTTAGCTCAGTATCATATGATAAGATAACAAACTATACATACCGGTACCATCAAACTGATCATTAGGGAGCAAAACAAACCCTTAATATAATGTCTAGCAGAAAACAGATACTACCATTTATATCACATGACGCTAAAATTACTATACTTACTCATGCATGTTTCTTCAATCTCGAATACTCCTTTAAGAAAGCTAAATGCTAACAAAAGCACAAATGTGAGAAAAATCTCAAACAGGACTTGCCACTTTCTCTGCCACTGAAAAACATTAGTATGAGATAAAGTAAAGTAAAGTAAAGTAAAAATTATGACATAACATCATCACTAATGTCTACAAAGTATCATCACACTACATGGAAAAATATACAGTAACTATTTCTCCATCAAATTTAAAAGTAAAAATTTATCAAATATTAGATAATCTATAAAAACTTACATTTTCATTGCTATAGTAATTATAAGTTCAATTTTAGGGAAAGTTCAATTTTGGGGACAGTTTATATTATGTCAGTTATTGATCACAATTAAAAACAAACATTTATTCTTATAGAAGCTTCCATTCCAATTTCATAAATTATTATCAAAAACTTCATAAAAACTGAAGAAGTTTTGGAATACTTACTAAAAGTATGAAGTTCTTCTTGATAAGAAGGCTCAGCTGCTTTAGCTGCCTACCCATGGTTTATCTTCTATAAGTCAACCTTATAGCACTAGTCTTAAGAAAGGTATGTAGTGTGAACTCTATGAAGTCATAACATTCTGACAAGATCATTGTGTAAATAAAACTTGAATACGTTTTGCATGATCTCCACAGTCGACCAGTGGGAATTCTAGGGATTGAATCCCTCATGGAAAAAATAAAATAGAATTTTACACTTAATTTCAATTTCTCGTTGTTATAATTCATCCCTGAAATCATATTTTCAAAAATGACACATCCTATCATCTGCTATCATCTCTGCCTACACAGTGCACATATTTTTACTACTTTTCCAAGGAGTTGGCAATAGGCGTGACTTTTTAACGACAATTTCCCTTAAAAACGTGTTTTATAACTTTTAAGTTGGGAATAACACAGTGTAATACTGACATAAGCTTGATCCTTACCCGTACTCTTCTCAAATAGTGATCTGAGCCGATATCAGCATCCCTGCAAACATTGAGCAGAGAAATTCCAAACCTCTTACTGATACAGATGTGGTTTATTCGATTTTAACAACACAGCCATTAGGTTATCTCCAGGTACCCTTGTGAATATTATTTTGCTGGAACAAAGTACCAACGATAGTTACCAACAATCGGGTACCACTGTGAGTGTCTACTAATGACATTTGACAGCAAGCTGCAATCCGATGCAACCTGAGCATTTAGGTCACCAAACATAAATTTCAAATCGTGTCGGGGTAACTCATCAAATACACTTGGCAACTGCTGGTAAACTTCATCCTTACCATTATCAGAAGCCCCCTCAGTTGGCGCATAGACTACAAACACAAAAATATTCAAGTTTTAACTGTGTAGTCCTCCTGAACTACATGTTGTTGTGGTGTGAATTTATGAAATTTTGTTTTTACGTAGTTGACCATTTTAAGTTACAAAGGTATTTATTTACTACCCTGGTTCTACACCGTTTTTATTTATTAATATATTTACAAAAGTTAACTTTCAGGCGTCTAACCTTACAGTAAGACAATTACCATTACTGTATTTATTTGTGTATATTGTTCGAATAATTAATAATAATTTCAAAAAAAGCCAGTGCTGGGAATAAGGGTTTCAGTTATCGACAGCAAGTTCAACTTCTTATATACTCCAAGATACACTTTGAACATTGTGACAACTGACTTGAAACAACTGACTCGAGCTACCTGTTATGTGACAGATAAAACATGGCGTAGGTTACATCTCCACCGAAAGCACATCCAATTTGATATGTATGAAATATATCTACAACTTGCTTGATTCTGCACTGAATTGGCGTTTTGCGACCAAAATTGGACTGGGAATCGTTTAATATCACTATTCACTGTTGAAGCAACTTGACAAAAGCTACTCATGCTATTGTAGCACAATGCACTACTGGGTTGCGCCGAGCATCAAATAATGTTTCTCACAACCACACTTTGGTAGATCGGCGAGATGCATTATTGTTTTTGTTGTATGAGTAGTTTCTTTGCACTTTAGTCTCTCAGTTTTAATACTTTCAACACTACTATATAACAAATAATTTGAGGTATGTCCAATTGAGGTATGTCCAATGAACTCATGTCACCTAATATGTCACCTAATTTGGCTTTCTAATCCCTAATATGTCTTCCTCAATTCCTAATGACAAGAAACCATTCACATCTTCTTCAAGGTACGGACTTTGACATCACATCAGACCAGAAAAACCCTTTTCAATTAAAACTCAAGTCAGATTAGAAAAACCCTTGTCAAATAAATCTCAATCCCGAGTAGTAGACTCAGTAAAAGTAGTAGAAACATATCATTCTGTTGAAGTAGGAACTCCTAACAATCATAGCCCAGTTGAGGCTCCAATCAGAAATTGAAGCAACCCTGATGCCCCTTCTGTTGTGTATCCATGTGGTAAATGCTCTCATGATGTCACCGGCTTCGAATGCGTTAAGTGTGATGGTCCCTGTGAAACATGGTATCATACTAAGTGTTGTATGCACAAAACAACTTTTGAAAAACTTGGGCAACACTCAGAAGTAATGTGGGTATGTAAGAATTGTAAGGCCTTAGAGAAGAAACCGGCTAAGCTAGTTAACTGGGGTAATTATGCTTCTTTAGTGAAACAAATTTTAGTGAAACAAATTTAAAATTTTATCCTTTATTTTACAATCATAATATAATAATATTTATAAGCCTCCGTTTTGAAAGTTTTAAATTTTAATACATTCACATTTCTATTTAAAATTCAATTTTATGTACAAGTCAATAACTGGCCGCCAAAGCCGCGCATTCTTGAAAACAGGATTAACTTGATTATAGTTATACGACTATGTAAATTAAAAACTATCCGTGGTTTTTTCTTTTAAATAAATAAATTATAATTTTACCTAAGTCCAAAGCCAGCTTTGAAAAATTTACTATTAAATCATAATATATCGTCAACTTTAAATATTTACAATGCAACAATTCATTAATCTGTAAACACGCGTACTCCAGCCCCTAAACGCATAAATTGTTATGCGGCGCGGCTCAAGCCTTGATTGACGATGTCAATCCGTCGAGATCGTTGCTCTGCGAAGCAGAGCAACGATCGTCGACGATGCGAAGCAAGAATGCTAGTTTGCGCGGCGCGTCGAAGCGGCGAAGTCCTCCAACTCAAGCCGCGCACGCACGTATTATTTTATACTGTTTGCTTTCTAATAAGTATCGTGCCAATGTGTACGTCTAAATTGTAAACGTTCATGTTTTGTGTAAAGTGAATCCAATTGGGACTAGTGACAAGGATAAGGACCCAAGTGCCTGTACGGCTTTTTCGGGCCCCTGTGGACCACTACTCTTGAAATCACTCTACAACATTGAACATCTATATCTACTACGTCATTTGGCAATTATTGTCATTAATCTAACTTTCTAATTAATTGCCGAGGGGGAAGAGTAAACGCTTCACATTAAAATTCAATATACAAAAATTAAGTGAGATCTCCAATGCTGCTGATTTAGCCTACAGTGAAATTATGAAATGGACCAAGAACATGTTCCTAGTGCCGCGGGGCAAAGTGGGCAACGCCTTCATTTTTGAAGTAAGCAGATTACTCAACCTGTTTAATGGCAAGACAGAATGGGATAGTATAGCGTTGAGACTACTATTTATCTTCATTCCTATAATGCTGCAAAAACCTTCTAAAAACTCTCGTGCAAAGGATCACAACATCTATCTTACCTGGGGACCTCAGGCTATTATGTTCATAAACATATACGCCGAATAGAGATTAGGCGGAATGACAGGCTGAGCGCGGCCCAGTAAAACATCTATCTTGATAAAAGGCTCAAGTTGTGGAAAGTTGGGGACTTGAATGCTATAATCAGTGAAGGGTGTGAGATTCAGAAACGACTTGAAGAAACAAAAGGAGAAGAAGGCTGAGTACTTGGAGAAAGTGTTGAACGTAGAGAATGCCACTTTCACCCCAGCCGTATTTCTCACAACTGGAGGCATGTCCAAAAAATGTAAGCGGTTTCTTGATTGACTATGTCAATCTATCGAGATCGTTAATCTGCGAAACAGAGCAACGATCGACGACGCGAAGCAAGAATGCTAGTTTGCGCGGCGCGTCGAAGCGGCGAAATCCTCCAACAGCGCCCATAGCGTGAGGCAAATAGATTTTGTAATAAATTCATTTTTAGTTTTATGTAAGCACAAAGAAATCAAGTTTTAATTTAAAGTATATGGTTTATTTATTGGCGCAGGTTATGTCTCCCGGTCTCCGCCGAAAGCACACTCTCCATATTGCGCGCATTACTGTTGATTGACGATGTCAACCATTCCAGATCGTGGCTCTGCTAAGCAAAGCAACGATCTTGTCGATGCGAAGCAATAATGCTAGTTTGCGCGTTGCATCGAAGCGGCGAAGTGGAAGTCCTCCAAGCATTACTGTAACTTATATTAGTATAAAATAATACGTGCGTGCGCAACTTGAGCCGCGCCGCATAAGAATATTGCGGTGCGTGTAGTTGTAGGTTTACAACCTACCAGGACGCGCGCCGAGTTGGACTCCAATATATGGAACAGATATTTTACGAGTATCACCCGTTAAGCCGAGTTGGACTCGTCGACGGTCCAATATATGGAACAGATATTTTACGAGTATCACCCGTTAAAGGCTTACAAATATTATTATATTATGATTGTAAAATAAAGAATTAAATTTTAAATTTGTTTCACTAAAAAAAATTTCAGAAACGACTTGAAGAAACAAAAGGAGAAGAAGGCTGAGTACTTGGAGAAAGTGTTGAACGTAGAGAATGCCACTTTCACCCCAGCCGTATTTCTCACAACTGGAGGCATGTCCAAAAAATGTAAGCGGTTTCTTGATTGACTATGTCAATCCATCGAGATCGTTAATCTGCGAAACAGAGCAACGATCGACGACGCGAAGCAAGAATGCTAGTTTGCGCGGCGCGTCGAAGCGGCGAAATCCTCCAACAGCGCCCATAGCGTGAGGCAAATAGATTTTGTAATAAATTCATTTTTAGTTTTATGTAAGCACAAAGAAATCAAGTTTTAATTTAAAGTATATGGTTTATTTATTGGCGCAGGTTATGTCTCCCGGTCTCCGCCGAAAGCACACTCTCCATATTGCGCGCATTACTGTTGATTGACGATGTCAACCCTTCCAGATCGTGGCTCTGCTAAGCAAAGCAACGATCTTGTCGATGCGAAGCAATAATGCTAGTTTGCGCGTTGCATCGAAGCGGCGAAGTGGAAGTCCTCCAAGCATTACTGTAACTTATATTAGTATAAAATAATACGTGCGTGCGCAACTTGAGCCGCGCCGCATAAGAATATTGCGGTGCGTGTAGTTGTAGGTTTACAACCTACCAGGACGCGCGCCGAGTTGGACTCCAATATATGGAACAGATATTTTACGAGTATCACCCGTTAAGCCGAGTTGGACTCGTCGACGGTCCAATATATGGAACAGATATTTTACGAGTATCACCCGTTAAAGGCTTACAAATATTATTATATTATGATTGTAAAATAAAGAATTAAATTTTAAATTTGTTTCACTAAAAAAAATTTGTTTCACTATTATTTCAAACTTCATGAAGCGAGATGAATTATTTTGCGATATATCTTAAATTAATTTAACGGGTATAATATCTGTTCCATATTTTGGACCGTCGATGAGTCCATGACTCGGCGCGCGTCCTGGTAGGTTGTAAACCTACAAAAGTTAATATATGCACTTATACGATACACTTGGAATACTTTTGAAAGATAATAATAAGCTCAAAAACGCTACTGACGTATTTCTCCATAAAAAGCTCAATAGCTTGAGTTGGTTGACGATGTCAACCCATCGAGATCGTTGCTCTGCGAAGCAAGAATGCTAGTTCGCGCGGCGCGTCGAAGCGGCGAAGTCCTCCAATAGCGTGAGTTATGAGTAGCTTTTGTCGAAGTGCCTCGAAAGTGATATTAAACGATTCCCCGATAAATTTTGGTCGCTAGAACGCGCCGCCAATTTTACCTGAGGACCCAGGCTTTAATGTTGGTAAACAACAATGGAGATTAGGCGGAATGACAGGCTGAGCGCGGCCCAGTAACGCCAATTCACATAGCCATGTGCCTACGCGTACTGCGTGACGCGCTTGTTTCACTACTGCAAGCGAGAGGGCTCTGGTTAGAGCAACGCCGCCAACTTAGTGCATAATCAAGGAAGTTATGGACATATTTCATACGTATCATGTATCAAATTTGATGTTATGTGCTTTTGACGGATATATAAGTAAAATTCCATTTTTAAAGTAAAATACAAGTTTTATTTACCACAGAAGAATCAATACATATTGAATTATAAATATCCGATAATTTCATTATATTAATAATCATTAAATGTAAACGTTGCTTTGTAAAATCAAAAACGAAAAGATGTACGCTGAACGCGCGCGGCATCTTATCGGCAGCTGCCGAACCTCTAGCCGCTAACATCTAAGCCGCCGCGCGCGCCAAGTGCTCGGGTGCATTCTCATTGACAATTAAACTTGGTCAAATACGTTTATATACAATTCCTAAATTAAATCAATAATCATGTAGATATAAGTATTCAACACTACTCGACAACAAATATTTGTCGGCCCATCGACGATTCAGTCGCCGAAATAAAAATCAAATGTTTGTTTTTTCGTTTCGGGAACTGTTTGTACTCAATATTATATACAAATAGTATACAAACAGTTCCATTCAAAAGAACAAAGTCCGAGTAAGAACAGTAAAGAGCAGAGAGAAGATTTGGAGACTATACACGCATATGTGGTTTTCGCACGAAAGTATCAGCAGTATAACTTGCGCCTTATGTATTTTATTGTTTATGTTTAATCCTTTAAAGTTTAAATTCTTACTCGAAATTTGTATTTTAATTGATCGTATCCTGATCATAATTGAATTAATTTGCCGAGTTAGTTTGCCAAATGATAACAATCATTTAGACTTAAATCCGCAGTCAATACGAAACACGTTCGAATATACATATTACCATTGCAAAAGACTTAGTTAAA